CATGCGACATATCGGACATATCGGTAATAATATGACTCCTTTTAAATTTGAATAATGAAAACATAAGATATTGTGAAACAGTACTCCTAATTTTTAACTGATTTTAGTTCATCTTCATTTGATTTTTTGCTTTATGCTAATTACACACAATTTCAACTAAAGAAAAGAAAATAGACTGAGATCCAGGAAAGAACATACTGAACTTGGACTGGAGTACGCCACAACTCGTTACCATCATAGCCTGAAGCACAACCGGTTACCATCATAGCTTGAAGCCCTGAAGAGTTGTGTGTTCTGGTATGTATTTATTTTCTTTGTTATCATGGGCAATAGTCTTTGTTGGGGAGGATGGGTTTAGCTTTCTCAGCCCTAGGATCTCCTATTTGAACCAATTAATAAAGTGAAGTGTGTTGAGCCTAAAAAATGCTGATGTTTATTTTGTTTATTCGTTTCTTTTAGGTATATTGACTCATTAACAAGTTACAATGGGTTGCACATATTTCTATAGGTTTTGAAACATGTAAATAAGGGTAAACAACACTATAATTTACGTTCTGACATGTTTGGAATGTGTAAATAAGGGTAAACAACACATATGGGAACATGCATTTGCGTTGTTTACCCAACACATATGGGTAAACCTCCATTATGGTTTGTAGTCGTGTGCGTTTGCGTGTCCCGGATATCTCAGGATCGGCTTTGTAAGAGGGTTACCTCATCATCTTATATCGTTCGACTGTGTACTTTTTTTTTGCAAGAAAATTTTCGATCTATTCATCTTCAATCATGGCAGTACAACGAATACCAGAAATAATAGAAATCACAGGCACAACTTGTTGTAGTAGACAGTCGGGAAGTCGTCGTGCTAAGGCTCCGTAGGACCAGCGCACCAGAACAACAACCGCCGCAGATGAAGAATAATGTAGATCAGAAAAATCCAATCCGAAGACACACGAACGTAGACAAACAACGACGAGATCCGAGCAAATCCACCAAAGATAGATCCGTCGGAGACACACCCCCACACGCCCACCAACGATGCTAGATGACCTTTATTCCATCCTCAGGGAGCCGTCGCCGTCTTGTCTTCCTGAGCAGGACACAAACCCTAGCAAAACTAAAAGAAACGATTAAAAACGGAGCCCTTCCGTCGACCCTTGCCGAGATCCACTGCGCCCCCATGGCCCTAAGGCCATCGGAGAGGAGGCGGACCTGCGGCAGCGGTGGCGGGAGGCAAAAACCCTAGCTTTTTGTGGAGGAGAAGGAGAAGGTGGCGGCTAATGTTACTTTATTTATAAAGCGGGATGAAAGAAAGACACTGCGTAAGTAGCAAAGTATATCCGTCTGCTATATCTTTGATGTTGAAAACGAAGGAGAACCTTAACCCCAACTTTTTGTAAAACAAGAATGACTTTGTATTTGTTTTTTCTTGCTTAATATATCGGCAACTATACTGCTGGTTCCTCAAAAAGAAAATTGTCTGAATTGTGAACTCTGAAATGAACAACGAACACAAAAGAGGTCCCGATAAGCAATGACTTTTTCATGTATAATCTAAACTTGTTCAGAACAGGCTCGAGCTGCCTGCATATTCAGCACAGAGGTACAGTCGAAACGCTGTGCATATTCAGCAGAGGTACACTCCAACCGCCTGCATATTCAGCAGAGAGGTAAAAAAGAATGACGACGAACTGCACAGGATGGGACCGATACTGCTTATAACCTACAAAAAATTCCCTATGAACGTGATCTACGGACTAATCCCCTCCGTGAACTTCAACTAACCTTCCCCTGAATGACTGAATCCTAACTAGCCTATCTGTTGGCCTCAATGTCATTCAGTAGCAAATCTCCGGCAAGGGCATCTCCAACGCTTACCCAAACCGGACACCGCGTCCGCCCGTGGACATGGATGCGAGAGCCGGCCATCCAGATTTCAACTAACCGAAAAAATTTAGGACAACGGTAACGCACACACGTATGATGGGAGTCAGACTCGCTCACTCATCCTATAACACACAGACTGCGCCACGTCACCACATCCACATGCATGCATGTGGGTATCTTTTTGGATTTTTAGTTTTTAAAATATATATCTCTTAAATGAAAAATCCGATTGAAGATCCATTTTCACCATTAAATCCTCGCGATGAGATCTTCGTAACTAGATCTCATATCAATATATTTCACCGATTTTTTTGGGATTAAAAGTTGCCAGTCTATTGTACATGAATTGCCATGATGTTTATACCGAAGTTGCCATGATATATTTCAGCTATTTTCTTCTACATTTAAAAGTAAATTTTGACATTATAAAACGGGGAGTTAAGAAACTAGACTTGCCATGAACCATAAACTAAAATTGCCATGATCTATGCACTTAAAATTGCCATGGTTCATACAAAAAATAATTTTCATGGTCAAGGTACTGGAATTACCATCATCAAAAAATAAAATTGCCATGCTCTACAAACTAAAATTGCCACATGACAACTATAATTTAAGCACTATGATAACTACAGTGTAAACATCATGGCAACTATTGCGTAAAAAGAAATTCACCGAAACATATCAACATGAGGTCTAGTTTTGAAGATCTCGTCGAGACGGATTTAATGATGAAAACAGATTTTTAATTCAATTTTTAATTGGGAGATAAAAACATTTTTAAGCCAAAAATAAAAAATGTTCCTGCTGATGTCATGTGTTCATACGTGGCAAAATGAGTGGTGATGGAGGCGTGTGAGCGATGTGCACGATGCCACACGTGTGGGCGTTATTTTTTTCCCAAATTTAATATTAAGACGGATTTCATTCATGTTCAGACATAATTTATATAGATCGACCGATATTTCGACCGTTTACCTTACAACTAGAAAAAAACCCAAAGCTTGTAGCGGATGACAACATCGTCCACGTGGCCGCCCTACCCGGCTACACCACCGCCGTTGTCGTCCTTCCAGTGGTGAAGAGTGCGGGTCCGCCGCGACAGCCTTGTCCGTCCCTTGCCTGGCACCCGTGCAGGAGCCACTCTGCTTTCTCCTGCGCGGTGCGGACGGCCGCTGCGACCAATCCCGACAGCGTTTGCGGAGCCCTCGCGACGACCTTGCCCCTATCGGCATTGGCGGAGGAGTTGCTAAGCGACCATTCCTCGCGGATCTTAGCGAGCTCGCCGTCAAGGCAGCGATGGCGCCTCATGGCCGTCTCTACAGTGGTGACGGAGCGGTTGAGGGCCCAGGTGCCGGCGAGGTCGGGGTCGTTGACAACCTAGTCCAACACCGTGCCCGACTTGGCGAACGCGAAACGGCGGGCAGTCTTGCGCCGCTTATTCCACGCCGCCTGGCTTGCCGCCCTTTCCTCAGTGGAAACGACAGCCCGCGATCCCGAGGGACCGCAGCCACCGAGGTAGTGGAGCATGCGGCCGCACGTCTTGGTGATCGCGGATGGAAGTTGGTCCTTGATAAACTGTCCGCACTGGTTGCAACGAGTCCAGCCAGTTGATCCGTGTGTACC